TAAATATGGTAGACAGTGGCTCGCAAAGCTCTTCTTTGCATTCCTTAAACACCCTGACAAACACTTCGTCTGGCCCTGGGGATTTGTTTGGCTTGATTTTCACTATTTGTTGAATAACATCCTCCCTGGTAACTGCTAAACTAGTCAACCTGTCCTCTTCCCCACCCACATAGATTTGTTATGCTGAACGTGAAGAATTTAGTGTGATGATTGTAAAAAGAAGTTACATATAAGGTACAAAGTTGATTATCATAGGTTGTCGAGTTCCTCCAACTCCTCAGATGGCGAGACGGAACCCAAATATATATATATATATATACATATATATATATATATATATATATATATATATATATATATATATATATATATATATATATATATATATATATATATGTATATAACTGAAAACTCACACCCCAGAAGTGACTCGAACCCATACTCCCAGGAGCAAACGCAACTGGTATGTACAAGACGCCTTAATCCACTTGACCATCACGACCGGACAAAATGAGGTGATAGCCGAGGCTATTTGAACCACCCCACCGCGGTGGGGTGGTTCAAATAGCCTCGGCTATCACCTCATTTTGTCCGGTCGTGATGGTCATGTGGATTAAGGCGTCTTGTACATACCAGTTGCGTTTGCTCCTGGGAGTATGGGTTCGAGTCACTTCTGGGGTGTGAGTTTTCAGTTGCATATTGTCCTGGGGACCATTCAGGCTTGTTCGCATATATGTATATATATATATGTATATATATATATATATATATATATATATATATATATATATATATATATGTATATATATATATATATATATATATATATATATATATATATATATATATGTATATATATAAAAGAGAGATAAATGAATATTGGCACCCAGGCCAATAACAGCAGTTCGTTGATAAGAGATTATTTTATATGGGACATATCAAGTTTATTTTTAATTTGTGGTGAATGGTGTGCCTGTGTATGCGCGTGTGCGTGTGCGTGCGCGCGCGCCTGTGTGTTTGTGTGTGTAGGCACGTATGAGTTGTACTGTATTTATGCCTTGTTCTTCTGGATTTTTTTTTTTTGTAAATGTTTAGCTATGCTACAAAATATAACTGTCAAATGAATTAATTTGTTATATATTTGAAACTAATAATTTTCCTCTGAATCAGAATTTGAGCACAAGATGAAATTAAGACTAGTATTATATGGAGAAAATTTGTAAACAATTTCGTTATGTCCGTTTTATTCTAAGCCTGATTTTAAAGCTAAAAGATGTGTGTATTTCATTGTATAAACGAGCATACTAGCTGCTAATCTGGAATTATTTAATGAAGAATTGTAAAATGTCTAAAATATTGTCCTGAGGCTTCAGTATCCTACAACATTTTGACTCTGGTGTCATGTTGTTATCAGGAATAAGTTTTATTATAATATTAATCTACTAAATGAAAATGATGGATTCAATGCCTAGCATTGCTTGTCCACAAGTAGTATCCGGTATGGTCTAAGACCTGATCAGACCGAGCCTAACCTAACGGAAATAATCAAAATAAAATGTTTTATACATATAATGCACGATGTGTGACGTCACTCTGACGCCATAACGGTCCAGACTGTACAGGTTTTAGACTAGTATCTAACAAAGGGGGTTTAATGACCTTGCTCCTGCCCAAAAAACAGAGCCTACTAATGTGAGAGCTGCCATGTTCTTACAACGGTGTGAAGAGCCTGCTCATTAAGGACCGCCCAAGAAATCAAGCGTGATATGTCTGCGCGACATTCCCGGTAAAACTTGCAGTGCATTTTATGTCGCCCAACTTTAAAGCCAATTTTAATACCGGGATATTGTTGTGCATCACGAGAGTATTCGTCTCCAAGGCGCATGCGCAGCGAACCGATGTGAATTGAAATTGAAATTGAAATAAGTTTATTGAGGTAAAATACACACAAAGGGATGAGGTAGCTCAAGCTATTCTCACTCCGTTCAGTACATCGTGTTAATACATACATATACACACATCACAAACAATAAACATATTACCAAAAGCCGGTGTGTGTAACCCAGTGAAACAGTTCTAAAGCATCTGGCCGCTCTATCAAGACACAGTGCTTTATATAGTAGTGGGCTAGATGTAATAGATTGGATGCTTGTAAAGACAGCCTAACCTGATCAACTCTCTCTAACAAGACTAGTGAGGTTTCGAGAACAATAATATAAGTAGCCGTAAATATTACGAGCCACCGCGGTTGTCATCATCACTCAGTAATCACCATCATTGTTGTGATCTTTATCAGTTCCCAGCGGAGAGTACTTAGGTATGTCTTCATGATCTGCGAAAGTAATTACCCCAGAATTCATCTGTCTAAATTAGGAGAAGCTCGAGTTGTGGTATATGTGGTAAGAGCGGAATGCGGGGCTGCTTTTGGATCGAGCGAGGCTAGTTGTGGGCGTGCTACCTTATTTGTGAATGTGCGAGGCTAGTGGTGGATATGAGAGGCTAGTCCTAGTAGTTGTGGGGCAGATAACCAAGCTATTGAGCAAAGACAAGGTGACCTCTGGCTACACTTGAAGAGGTGAGCGCCGGAGACACACACACACCCTACCTTCACGACCTTCCTCAGAGGACCACCTGGAAGACTTATCATTCGTTACCCAGTGACCACTAGGTGATATGAACTTAAACAACAAAAACAAAAGCTCAAGCTCGGTCGAGCTTGAGCGCCTTAACTTCCAGTGATGTTCGAGGAAGCAGAAGCCAGACAGACAGACAGACAGACGCCCAGGAAACACTGTGAGCGCCACCAAGATCCACCCCACCCCCCCTGGCGCCGGACTCCGTCTCTCCATTCAAATATCCGATCAGAAAAAGGTTGGAAAAACTGTATCAACTTGCCCGTGCGTCCCAGGAGTCGTATAACGCTGGGTGTTGAAGACTGATGCCTTAATTACTTCAGTATTAGAACTTATCGAGCAAAAATGTCATTTTGAAATCAGTATCATGATAAAAAAAGAGTAAACATCTACAATATGTTGTTTACATAGTCAATATCGTGTTCGAGATGCGTAGTTTTAAAGGTTATCTGGAATGAGAATTTATTCGTATTAATTTTTTGTTAGAACTGTGATACAGGAAACCATGAAGATTCTAATGACCATTTTGGAGACAATTACTGTTTATATATATATATATATATATATATATATATATATATATATATATATATATATATATATATATATATATATATATATATATATATATATATATATATATATATATAAATATATATATATATATACTAGTATATTTTGGTAGCAGTCTTTCCTGTAAACATATATTATTAAATATGACCGAAAAAGTAAGATTAATAATTCTAACACGAATTTTCTCGATCTTTCGTACGTTTCTTTTCACTGTTGGTGGTAATTCAAAAATCAATTCTCCAAAAATAAAAATGAATTTTGGAGAATTGATTTTTGAATTACCACCAACAGTGAAAAGAAACGTACGAAAGATTGAGAAAATTCGTGTTAGAATTATTATTAATCTTACTTTTTCGGTCATATTTAATAATAATATATATATATATATATATATATATATATATATATATATATATATATATATATATATATATATATATATATATATATATATATTTATATATTTATATATATGTATGCATATATATTTAAACAAACTCAAATTGAAGTGCAGCAGTGGGTAAGGAATATGAGTATAAGTATTCAATGAGAAGGATGGGAGAGGGGGTGAGAGTTACTAGGCAATCGTCCGTATGAATATCCTGCGCAGCTTAGCTCGTTTTTTATGTTAAAACTTCGAATCGTTTTAAGCTCGGCTGGGATAGCTTATGCTAGATTAAGTTGGATAACGTTATACTTTGTTCGGGTGGATTAATGCAAAACAATTTCGTAAGGAAAACGGTTTTACGGACTAAATAATCTGTTTATTGCGCGTTATGAAGGGATATCATTATGAAGGGATATGAGGCTTGGATAAGAGTTTAGGGTGGAGAGGCCCGAGTTAAACAACGATGACCAATTACTTGAGATAGCGGAGACCGAACGTCGACTTTCAATGGAGCTAGCTATGGGACGTCGCTCTTCCGGCCTGTCCAAGTGGTTGGGACTTGCTGAGAGAGGAAACGATTGATTCATAATTCAGCGCCGCCTGAATGACACACGCAACAAATTAATACTGGCAGTAATTAGTAGACTCTAAACGGCTCGGAACAGTTTCATGCTTGTTAGTTTTGTAATTATATTGAGGATCAAACAGTTTTGTTTATTGTGTTTACAATGTAGTGCCTGGTGTTGATAATCAAGCCAGTTAATATACTGCATGTTGTTTACACAATTAGGTATTATTGGAGCAGTAAGCATGAATTATTATGTACGATGCTTTTGTGATAGATTAAACGATGGTCACATGCTGCTTCATAATAGATTGCCCTAAAACTATGCCATTTTTATTATAATCTCTATTTTATTGTACGGTTTTAATATTTTAAAATACGGTTTCCCGTTTCTATATTGTTTTGAGCTGTAGTCAATTTGTCTTCAGGTGATCCTCAGCTGCCGATCACTAACAAACTTGCCAGTCTCTGCTATAAAATATGTTGATAATGCTCTCGTAGCTCTGTTACTCTTATTTGTAAGTGTTGCTAATCATGAAAAAAGTTGTGGACCAGGGCACGGGATGCCAGCACCAACAGGCAGGTGGACCAGGGCACGGGATGCCAGCACCAACAGGCAGGTGGACCAGGGCACGGGATGCCAGCACCAACAGGCAGGTGGACCAGGGCACGGGATGCCAGCACCAACAGGCAGGTGGACCAGGGCACGGGATGCCAGCACCAACAGGCAGGTGGACCAGGGCACGGGATGCCAGCACCAACAGGCAGGTGGACCAGGGCACGGGATGCCAGCACCAACAGGCAGGTGGACCAGGGCACTAACATAATACTGGTGTTGCAGGTAGAAGCTGTGGACCCCGACAAGGTGGACTCTGCCGGGCTGGTGTACAGTGTTGGAGGTGACGGAGTTGACGGTCACTCCCCCACCCGCGCCTTCTTCACTATCAACCCCCTCACCGGTCACCTCCTGCAGCTGAGGGTGAGTGTTGACCCCCCTCACCGGTCACCTCCTGCAGCTGAGGGTGAGTGTTGACCCTCCCTTGTGTTGACCCTCCCTCACCGGTCACCTCCTGCAGCTGAGGGTGAGTGTTGATCCCCCTCACCGGTCACCTCTTGCAGCTGAGGGTGAGTGTTGACCCTCCCTTGTGTTGACCCTCCCTCACCGGTCACCTCCTGCAGCGATAGTGTTGACCGGCTCTTTTCAAACGCTCACAAACTACTAAGAGGTCCCTAACCACTATGTACACTCTATTACCACCAAGACTATTTATTATCAACGGTGGCGATATATTCTTGTCATATACTATATATAAATGGATTTTTCTAAAACACAATTTTAATTTCTTTCTACAAACATTTTTCGTAAATTAAAATATACAGATTTTCATTTTAACCTACTTATTTATTCAAAATTTGTGTCCTTGCTTCAGTTTGACATAAACATGTTTTAAACATGAGTAGACTCATGTTTAAAATGAGTGTGCATTGTGTGTACGTCGCTTGGAGTCAGACGGGCGGGACTGATGTCACATCAGTCCCGCCCGCCTGACGCCAAACGACGTACACACAATTGCCAGACTGCCAGGCAGTCCGGGAACAGTGATTGCGGCGGCCGGTCGGGTGTTCCTGAGTTCTCTTGCTAATATTCTGACGTTTAATGCTGTTGATGTTGTGATAATAATTGATTGAACTACTTTAAAGGGGAAGAAAATATTAATTGTTATAATTTCATATCGTTCTTGTCATTAATAATGACTGCTTAAAAGAAGTATAGACAGTATCTGGAGGCTTTGTTGAAAGTCAATTTGATTCAAAACAGCTTTTGTGTTCTATATGTAACAGCTCATTTTTATATAAAACTGAAACTATCAAGACTTATAAAGCATTTAAAATTAAAACATTATGATAATCATTAATGGGTTTGTCCATTTAAAAAAATATATATTAAAAACGCATTTTGAACAAGGAGAAACTGTTTCTGCTTTATTTACAAAAGTACGGAAACAAATACAAATAGAATGATTGCCTGTTATGTAATTGCACAAATCATTACAACAAGTGGAATTGCTTCCAAAGTTTCTGAAAAGATTATACGGCCTGCCTTTGAAATTCTTGTCAAAACTGTGGTGCATTAAGATTCAAGAGTTTAAAAAACATTACCATTGAGCAATGATTCAATTCAGAACAAGAGAACACCGATCGTTTTCATCAAATCAGTCACATACTGAGGAGAACGGAAGCCTCAATATACGACACACTTGCATAAACGCGCAAGTTATAATGTAAATAAAGAACTTCTCTTCCCATTGCGAGTGCTTTCGGGTCGTTGGTCAAATGGCCTCGGCTATCAACGGCTTTTGTAAAGTCTGCAATAGTCAAATGGATAAAATATTGGATACGCTATAGCGTGTTTAGAGCACCAGGCTATCTCAGGTTCGAATCCTTCACTAGGTTGAATTCTTTAGTTATATATCTTAAGTTACACTATTGCACAACAGTGTAAGAAAAAAACATTGATAGGGAGTGTTACAATGTCTCAGTGCAATATTATAATACAAATATTATGTATTTGTTCAATGAGGCTTTTTGTTTATTCTTACATACTTGTTCTCTGACCGCTTGTAATGCCTGGAGTGTTGTAAGCTACTCTATACCTGCTGCTGGCTGCATCTCTCCCTGGGGAAGGGTGGTCAGGTCGCAGACGTTGGCCTCCACCCTCCCTCTGCTCCTCTTAGCCAGGCTGTTGCTACCAAAGGCGCTGACCAACCGAAATGTTCAACTCCCTTTTCCATTTCACTGTGGGTTGTCCGCATATCAATGGTCAGCGTGTCGTGATCGGCAGTTGCATATATATATATATATATATATATATATATATATATATATATATATATATATATATATATATATATATATATATATATATATATATATATGCTTCAAGAGAGGAGCTTCAAGAGATCCATAACCTTTAGGCATTTGTCTTGTATGTTTTGTAACCTTTAAATACACAATAAAGGAAAAAAAATAAAAAAAAGGGAAGGGGGTGGTAGGAGAAAAGCACACAGAAACTGTATTGGAGGGGACCTACATTCCCTCCAATGCGTTATGTGTGGTTTCCTCCGAGGCTATGGGTCCCCCTTCTTCCAGCCAGAGGTGGTACTCCCTTCCCTATATTAATATATATATATATATATATATATATATATATATATATATATATATATATATATATATATATATATATATATATATATATATAGAGAGAGAGAGAGTTTGTGAGGGTACCACCTCTGGTGCCAATGTGGGGACCCATAGCCTCGGAGAAGAAAATAAAAAGTATTCAGAGGAGACCTTGTGGTTTCTCACTGAACACTAATATTATCTTCTCCTACCACCCCCATTCTTTTGTATGTACACATATATATTTACTTTATTTGAACTTTGTTACAAAAAAGGAGTTACATATGGGTTACAAAGATGGTTATATATATATATATATATATATATATATATATATATATATATATATATATATATATATATATATATATATATATATATATAAAATCCCATTTTTTAGATGGAAGCATAGCCCATATTATATTACCTCGTCTGGGCAAACTGCAGTTGGTGTGCAGTGTTTTACATAATATTCATACACGTAAATAAAAGAGCATGATCAGGGATCACTGTGTTATTTCGTGCTCCTGTTAGTAAACATTTACATCTAGCATACTGTTTTCATTCGGGCTCATATGCCTCACATAGCCTCACATAATCCTTTTAGTTTAAAGACAATCGCTTTTCCTCTTCCCATTAACTTTGCATAGCGTAATACATAACATATTCATAATGCAGTACATATTATAAATGTTCTCTCTGTAATGCTTGCCCCACGGCATAACTTATCATATAGACTCCTTCATAATTATAATTATTCCACAATTGCTTCACAGCATATAATGTACATAATAATGTACATATATAATTTAATATGTTTCCTAAACATATGCATATGCGTATGTTCATCAATATGTGTGTATGTGTGTGTGTTGCAACCTGCGTTGTGTTGTGGGAGTGTGTAGTACACATAGGCTGCTATAGTGTGTGTAGTACACAGGCTGCTATAGTGTGTAGTACACAGTAGACTGGTATAGTGTGATGTAGTACACAGGCTGCTATAGTGTGTGTAGTACACAGTAGGCTGCTATAATGTGATGTAGTACACAGTAGGCTGGTATAGTGTGATGTAGTACACAGTAAGCTGCTATAGTGTGTGTAGTACACAGTAGGCTGCTATAATGTGATGTAGTACACAGTAGGCTGGTATAGTGTGATGTAGTACACGTGAGAGTACAATGTGGTGTTGTATGGTTGCAGGCGCTGGACCGGGACCCGCCGCTGGGGAGAGAGAGTACACAGTAGGCGGCTATAGTGTGATGTAGTACACAGGTTGCTATAGTGTGATGTAGTACACGTGAGAGTACAATGTGGTGTTGTATGGTTGCAGGCGCTGGACCGGGACCCGCCGCTGGGGAGAGAGAGGTGGCAGGTGAAGGTACAGGTGCGGGACGGACAGCGGGTGTCGCCCTCGCTGGCCGCTGCCTCCCGGGCCTCCAGGCGCCCCCCCACGCTCTCACACCCTCAACACCTCCACTCCCACCAACCCCAAGTGCCACCACAGGCCCACGCTCTCACCACACGCAACCTGGGAGTGCCACCACAGGCCCACGCTCTCACCACACGCAACCTGGGAGTGCCACCACAGGCCCACGCTCTCACCACACGCAACCATGAAATGCCATCACGGGGCCAGATTGGTATGTCATACAACCCTGAGGTGACACTAGGGAGCCAGTCTGTCACATCACATAAGGTACCACCCAATTTTATGTTACGCAACAGAAAAGTTCCCCCCGGAGGCCAGTTTTTTATACCGAACTACACCGAAGTATTACCAGAGAGTGGGTCGACCATACCTCAGTTCTCCAATGGACCGGTGCAGAGTAATTATTTCCAATCTCGGGACCCCAACGCAGAAAAAGGTAGCCGTTTTCTGTACCGGGATTCCGACGCAGGAAAAGATCTCTATTTCTTGCCTCAGAACTCTGCCATTGCACCAGAGGATCCATATTTCCTTCTTCAAGATCCCTTGGTAGAAGAGAGAACCATTCAAGTGACAAATAAGGAAGATGTGGAGATCGGTGGAAGACTTGGAGAAAATGTACAACAAATAAGAGACGAGGAGCAACAAGAACACATTTCAGAAACTATTGGCAGGCACACTTACCAAACAGAGGAAAAAGAGGAGATAACCGTAAGAAAAGGTAGCAAGCGAGAAGGAGAAAATAAAGGCGCCTCAAAACACTTAAGAAAAAGAGGAAAATTCATCCCGAAGAGAAGAAGAGCGTCAGAAAGGAAGAGAAAGTTACGAGACAAGAATCTCCAAAATACTAAGGAAATTTTAGGTGATAAAAAACGTAAGATGGGAGGAGGTAGGCAGAGCAGCAGTGCCGGCGACAGGAGGCGGAAACCCTCACCAGGTCGTGGGTATCAAGTCAGAGGTCGTAAAGCAGGTCAGCAAGGTCTTGGAGCACAGGTCGCCCGTAGGGTCTCGGGGTCAACCAGTGGCTGTAGCGATCAGTACCCTCGAGGAACCCTCAGCACGGCCAACAAGTATGATATAGCAAGTCCTGTGAGAAACAAATATTTCGCACATAGAAAGTATGATCAAATTGCTGTTAAATGCAAACGGTTGTCTGCCAGAGGTATATTAAACTTAGCATCGCCATATAATGCAGGGGGCAAAATTAACGTTGCGAGAAGCCATAAGTTGAGACTGAACAGCGGTTTCACATACAAAGGTGAGCAAAACTTCAGTGAAACACTTGCTTTTACACCAAAGCCCCATGTTGTGAGGCTCCGTGAAGTGCCCAGGAGTCGTCACAACAGGTCGTCGCCCCGCAGAGATTCAGGTCGAGTTGAAGATCTGGGAGAACCTGTGGAACACCATCGCGATAATCATCTATCTGCACCAAGCGCCGTAGCCACGACTCCCTCAAGAACTAAAGGTGACTTAGAAGGGGACTTGGGTGATGCAAAATCAGAGGGAAAAGGTTCAGCCGCAGGCAAATCGACTCTACTCGTCAATAAACGCGAAATACGTCGCCAGATGCCAGAGGAGCGAGTCTACGTGAAGAGGTTGGGAAGGAACGGTGGAGGGTGTGAGGACTATGGTAGCTTCTCTATGAGTCCGGAGGAGGCCCCGGAGGAGGAGGAGGCGGAGCCATGGTACCTGCAGGATATGAGGCGGGAGCAGGTGCACGTGGCGGAGACGGTGGTGACGGTGGTGGTGAAGGACATCAACGACAACGCTCCCGTCTTCCCCAACGCCACCATCTATGGCGAGGTGCAGGAGAACGGCCCCATTGGTGAGTACTTCAGCCCTGGTGTGTACCTTCATGTGTGGTTCACAGGTGCAGGAGAACGGCCCCATCGGTGAGTACTTCAGCCCTGGTGTGTACCTTCATGTGTGGTTCACAGGTGCAGGAGAACGGCCCCATCGGTGAGTACTTTATCCCTGGTGTGTACGTTCATGTGTGGTTCACAGGTGCAGGAGAACGGCTCCATCGGTGAGTACTTCAGCCCTGGTGTGTACGTTCATGTTGTGCTTCACAGGTGCAGGAGAACGGCTCCATCGGTGAGTACTTCAGCCCTGGTGTGTACGTTCATGTGTAGTTCATAGGTGCTACACATGAATATATACATATATATATATATATATATATATATATATATATATATATATATATATATATATATATATATATATATATATATATATATATATATAAATATTCTTCTCCGAGGCTATGGGTCCCTACACTTGCACCAGAGGTGGTACCCCTTCTAGGTATATATATATATATATATATATATATATATATATATATATATATATATATATATATATATATATATATATATATATATATATATATATATATATATATATATATATAAATGTATTGTAGAGATTACTAGTGTAGTAATTTTTGTATTAATGATTACCAGTAACTACCAAGAAAATCATAGACATATTACTATTACAACTATTTACTACCATTACTGCTCATTTTAAATTACTCCTGTTGATATTACAGTATATAGTTAATACTAGCATTCGTATAAATCAAAAGTATCATTAATGTGACATTAGTTCAGCAACTACTGCTCCGCTTTAGTGACTAGATACTAGTTAAAGATATTCAACATGCTATAGCCACCTTCAGTTATAGCCAGTGACATCGGCCTTGATTTCAACCAACGTTGAAAACATGTTGCTGGAAAGTTGGTGATGAGTCCTAGCTCTGTTAAAAAAAATGACGTTGAATGACTAAAAACAAGGAATAAATGAAAGCATTGCTTTGTATTTAATTGATAAAAGGGTAAATACTGTGTCACTACATTTCTGCCATCCCAACACCCAGCAAAATTTTTCCTGATGGTATATATATATATATATATATATATATATATATATATATATATATATATATATATATATATATATATATATATATATATATATAGTTGAGTGTGGTTATGGTTGTCGTGAAGCAGTCAGCATTCATAGGTTATCAGCTGGGGGTCAACCTTCCATCACACTTAATACATCTATTTAGGTACGCCTGACACACACACACACACAGCAACGAGGAGAGACTACGGGAATTAAACCTCACATCACTGGAAGACAGAAGAGTTAGGGGGGGGGACATGATCACCACATACAAGATTCTCAAAGGAATTGGGTAGATAAAGACAGATTATTTAACACTAGGGGCACACGCAGTAGGTGGAAACTAAGTGCCTAAATAAGTCATAGAGACATTATAAATAATTTTTGTAGTTTTAGAGTAGTTGATAAATGGAATGCTTTAGAAAGTAATCTGGTGGAGGCTGACTCCATACACAGTTTCAAATGTAGATATGATAGAGCCCAGTAGGCTCAGGAACCTGTACAACAGTTGATTGACGGTTGAGAGGCGGGACTAAGGAGCCAGAGCTCAACCCCCGCAAGAACAGCTAGGTGAGTACAACTAGGTGAGTACTCAAATTTCGTTACTTTAATGGAAATAAAAGTTTTGCAATTGTACTTTTTTTGATTAATGAACATTGATATGGGCTGTGTTAGTTCGCACGGTGAGGTTCGGCCAAAGCACACACATTCGCGTGCCCGTGCTGGGATTGCCATGAGTACTACTAGGCTTAAACTTGTTGGAAAAAAAATAGGCAGTTTGGATTTATTGTAGTACACACCACATGGTTGTGGTGGGTTATTGTGGTTGACCAGTGGTTGTGGTGGTGGCTTACTGAGGATGATTAGTGGTTGTGGTGGTGGGTTATTGTGGTTGACCAGTGGTTGTGGTGGTGGCTTACTGAGGATGATTAGTGGTTGTGGTGGTGGGTTATTGTGGCTGACCAGTGGTTGTGGTGGTGGCTTACTGAGGATGATTAGTGGTTGTGGTGGTGGCTTATTGTGGATGACCAGTGGTTGTGGTGGTGGCTTACTGAGGATGATTAGTGGTTGTGGTGGTGGCTTATTGTGGATGATTAATGATTGTGGTGGTTGATGATTAGTGGTTGTGGTGGTGGATTAATGTGGATGATCGGTGATTTTTGGTTGATATTTGTAGGGACATGGTTATGTGATGGATCGATAGTTGTGGTCTGGTTGTGTGGTGGATGAATGGTTGTAGTGGCTTTGTTATTGCAATTGATAAGTGGGTTATTATGACGGCTGCATTATTGTGTTTGATAGTTGTAATGGACCAGTGATTTTCATTGACCATTGGTTGTTGTTGATAATTGGTTGTGATCGGTTATTATTCCATATTGTAGGTTCATTTGCATAATTATTGCTGATTAAGGGTTCCAGCCTTTAGGGTAATTAAGTCCTAATTAATAGTTACGGTAACAGTAGTGCCTCAGATCATTGGTTGTTCTTTATACACATATTTGTGGGTAATTAGGGGTTGTGGGTAATTAGGGGCTGCATCAGATTACTTGTTAGCGTTGATCATTGGTGGGTGGAGCGAGGCGCTAATTAGTAATTACTGGAACTCTGCTTGTGGTATAGTAAACACTGGTTTTGGTTGATCGAACACTTCGTTTAATTGGTTGAACACTGCTTTTGGTTGACTGAACACTGAAATTAATTGAACACTAGATGTGATTGATTAAATACCGCATATTGTTCATTGTCTCTACTGCTTGTGGATTGAAGACTTCTTGCAGTTGACTGAACACTGCTGACAGTTGACTGAACACAGCTGACAGTTGATTGAACACTGCTGGAATTTGATTGAACACTGGTGGCAGTTGACTGAACACTGCTGACAGTTGACTGAACACAGCTGACAGTTGACTGAACACTGCTGACAGTTGATTGAACTGAACACTGGTGGCAGTTGACTGAACTCTGCTTGCAGTTGAAAGTACCTGAAGAACATTTTGTCTCTATTGAACGCATTAACATAAGCAAGTTAATAAAACCGTGTGTGGACTAAATGCATGTCCACGTCTCAAAACAAAAAACAAAATACGTAATGTAAGCATAAATTTGCATAGCTTTTTTTTTGCATTTAATCTGATGGCTGCAAAAAACAAAACCTCGCGTAAAGCCATCAATGCCTTGAAAAAATAGCATGGCTTTTTTTAGTCCATAATGGTGTGCTGCAATCATTACACTAATTAAGGCGAAAAATGTTTTTTGCGTAGTATTGGTAAAATACGTTGGAAATGTATACAAACCTCATTAGTATTTTAAATATTCCGATTTATGTGTACGTTTTCTGTGATGATGGGAGCTGTGTTTTCTTTGGGGGCCAGGACGTGGGGATGACTCTGTTAAATCTGTCATTTTAATTTAAAAAGCACTCGGCTTACATAGCAACTTTGCTTTCACATTTGATTGCTTTTGTTCATTTATTATGCACCTCATACCCATCCCATGGGTGGTAGTGGAAAAGGTTGTAGAAGCAGATAATAGGCTCAAGAACTGAGCCCCAAAATTCATTTATCTCATCTAGTTATAATCTTGATAAACTAGTTTCACAGTTTAATGCATTGGATGGATAAATACACTTATGCACTTAATGCAGAAGTGGACCACAACAGTCTCTAAGCTGAGAAAGTTACACATGTGGTGAGCCAATTATATATTTACTAATCATACACCCCCACACTCGTCCAATAGGCGTCAGTCACAAGTTTGCAATCATGTGCATAGAATATAACCACCTGCAATGTGAAAACTGTTAATATTTGCCTTAGTTTGATGATAGTACATAACTTTGAATGAAAGATACACATTTCAGGAAGATTTGTATTATAATCTGTCGATTTTTTTTTTAAATTCACATATTCATTATAGTAACGCTTTGTATGCGAGTAATTCTGCTGACAGAGTTTACATCTGATCAGATCGTCTGCAGAAGTCTGCTGACGTTATTGGCTGACCCAGAGATCTGTGGCTTCTCCTGCTTAATAGTACAACTGGAAATGGTAGAACTAGTGTAAATATCACTTTGTCTCATGGAACCAATGGATTCGTTTTCATGTTTTTGTTTTTGCTTGACCTCAGTGTTGGAAACGTTAGCTTTAAAACCTAGTCTGCATAAGGTATGTGTCGGTTACTAATATCGTTCATAGCTGCGGTAGCGTGATGACGAGCATAAGCAGACGGGATTAATCTCTAACAACCAACTGCAGCTTGTGTGGGGAATGATGCAAATATAATTCATAAAGGACTGAATGTCAATAAAACATGGTGACGTTTCTCGGATGTAATTTCGTGTTCAAATATTTATTTGGAAACTCGTTTCTCTCTTTTTCTATAATATTATGGTAAACGAAATTATCATCTTATCTGTATTTTAATCGAGAGGGAAACGAACTATTTAATAGTTATTTACATTATTCTGAATAATTATTCAAATAACTTTTGTTTTGTATATGCTTTTAATACACAACACTGCAAAACTTTAGAAATTTCATATATTTATGTGATAAACTTTTTTTTTAATGACAAATAACTTTTTAAGAGGCTTGTGAAACTATCGTAGTTTTTTCAATAAACTGACATTGATTTAATGGGGGTCATTTAAAATCAGTCTTTAGGATACTAATGTTTATAACTATTTATCGTGGAAATTACTGCTGGCTTGTTGTAGTGTTGCTCTTGATACAACTGCTGTTTCTGAACTCGTGTTGTTGATAATACTAATATACTGCTGAATAGCCTACTGCTCCTGCTGATGAAAACTACTGCTGGAGAAAGGGGGGGGGGTAGAAATAGCCTAAGCTACTCTATCCCTTTGAGATGTATTTTTTTTTCTTGTCTCAATAAACTTACTTGAACTTGAACTACTGCTGGTGTTATATATTCATATTAATAGCACAACAGCTCCCAGTACAATTTGTTATCCTCATTATCTTCCAGTAAAGTGAAAACCCACATTATCAACCCTCCTTTTATACGTTGGAGATCCCTCTTCTCTCTCTTTACCCTATCCCCTCATCCTTGATCATCTCCCCTCGCTATCCCCCCCTCTTCCTATGCCCCCCCCCATTAAAATACCCTCCCCATCCCTTCTATCCTCCCCCACTTTCCACATTGTCGGTACATCTGATTACAACTATGACAAAAATGGCCCTAAAATGTGGAATCGGGGCCTAGAGCATATTAGATGTGGATTAAGACACGAACATTACCCGTCTGGGCGGCGGTAATAACCTTTACCCAGAGCTAAAATGCTTTTAGCGGCTACTGGGGTAATTGCCAAGGCTCTGGGAACCTTAGCAATAGCTAATGGAGGTGATCATGGAAGCTTTGAGAACTTTCCCATCACCTAATGGGGTGATTATGGAGGTTCTGGGAACCTTACAAACAGCTACTGTCAGATGATGGAAGTTGTGATGTTGTGTGCTGGTTGTGGTGTCCTGAGTAGGTTGTGATGTGTATTGGTTGTTGTGAGGTTGAATGTTGTCAGTAAATGCTGGAGTACTCTCATCTGTCAATGTCCTCAACTCAATTTCCTGTATGTTAGTGCTACATAGTCTTCCCGGCTTGGTGTCTTGTTTTGATAATTAAATTAAGCTAGATCCTGTATGTTCGTATACTGCATTTATATATACGTTATACAGAAATAACAAATCATTGTCTCAGTGCCTTGATAATGTTAAATGTCTCTTTATAATAGTGTATAACCCTTCGTAGTAAACTTTTAGTTTTAGCAGTGACTGTGACATTAACCTCCACCTGCCCTTCCCTCAGACCTGTCGGTGGGCGTGGTGTGGGCGTGGGACGCGGACGACGAGAAGGAAGGCACCAACGCTCTCCTCACTTACACCATTGAGAAGAACGTGATGGAGGAACGGTCAGGCCAGGCCATCTTCGCCATCAACCCAGAGACCGGCCTCGTCCGCACCGCCATCTGTTGCCTGGACCGTGAGACTACACCAGAGTACCACATCCAGGTGGTGGCTGTGGACGGTGGCGGCCTCAAGGGTGAGTCTTGGAGAGAGAGAGCTGAATTGAGGACTGATCTCATTCGAATTTGTAGTGAAGATTCATGTGAAGTAGCATATTATAATTTAATAGAAAGTTTGATTGCAGAGGAAGATAAATTACATTCTATCATACTCACGTGAAGAATTATGCTGTCGCTGATGTATGTCATATTTGAGTTAATCATAATAGGAATTTAGTAAAAAAAATCTTTATCAGTCTTTTACAAAATGAAGAGGATGTAAATCAAATATCAAAATGTGTTGAGAATAATAATACATGTTCTTTGGTGCCAGTAATAGTTAACAAGGATTTTTATTTTGCATAGCGTATACACATATACATTGCTTCTATATTGTTGTGGGTGTGTGCGCGCGCGCGCCTGCAATCTGGTGAACTGAATGAGAATACATTTACATAGTCATAAACTTCAGTGTTGATGCATACCTTCATGTAAAATGAGTTTGTGCACCAGTTAATGTAAAAATGACAGTTTTTGTGTCTACATCACTGTCAACTGACTGTGTGTGTATGTGTTGACGGGCAGGTACGGGGACGGTGGTGGTGCGGCTGGCCGACGTGAACGACAACTCTCCACGACTGACCCAGGACCTGTGGCAGGTGGAGGTGGACGAGACCTGGGGCGACGGACCCCCCAGCAACCACACCCTCCTCCAGGTCACCACCGCCGACCACGACACCTCAAACTACTTCTTCTACCGGGTCAGTCTCCTTATTGATCTCCCTCCGCCTTTATCCTCATCTTGTTCATCGCGTCATTATTCCACTTTATCAACATCCAGTGGGCTGTTTCACCTACAACTGATAGTTCACATTTTTAGTTACGGGTCAGAAATAACTTAATTAGATTAAACTTTTCGTCTTAAGAGCGGGTGGTTTTTAGCTAAGTGACATTACCGTCAAATAAATGTCTACTGTTGCTCAGCCCACTGCCAGTGTATGTGGAGACACGCGAGCTGATGAAGCAACTAACTTGTTCCCTTAAGGCGTCTTTCACATTTGGTGATATGTCCGTCTGGCGATTTGATCAGATGCCTATATATATATATATATATATATATATATATATATATATATATATATATATATATATATATATATATATATATATATATATATATATACACAATGAGAACACACGATGTTATCGTTGCTACCGGAGGCGGCTAGTTTATTGTGCACCCCATATTCATCCTGTGAGCGGTAGCGCAAAAAGCATTACAGAGAGCACAAAAGGTATTTATCAGACTTCAACGGAGATTATTACATTAACAATTTCATCTATCCTTCACACCTTATAATTACAGTGTCAGTTAGGTGTCTCTCTCTCACTGGATGAATACATTTATTGAAGTGGTTTGTCTGCTCCTTCAGTTTTAGTTATTTTTTTAAGGATTTTTAAGGACCTCGATAAAAGCCTAACGTGTATAAACACACTCGGGCTTCCTGTCCCCAGACACAGTGAATTATTATTATATTATCATTTCACTGTGTTTATTCTGCCAATGAGCTCATTGTTATATGATGTCAGAGGTATTTTTTAACCAATCATTTAGTCACATTTACGTGGTAATTACCATTCATTAATGACACATGTCAGGATAGTGCCCCAGATAGGTAACCACTGGCATAACATACAGCACTAAAAACTATGTGAAAACCTTCTCTGTCATTGTGGCACTTCAAATTTATAATGTCAGCTTAACAAATAATATGAACATATTATCCTGGAAACTCACAAAAACATAGGAAATGAAACTGAAATTAAAAATGAACATCATTAAATGATATATATCTTGAACACACGATAATATATGTGAGTGTGTATTTACTATTTGTGCCAGCAGAATCGAGCTATTAGCTCTTGGGCCCTGCCTTTCTAACCAGTCTATTTGTTTTCCTCTTATGTCTACTACATATATTTCTCTAACACCCCCACCCCCACCTCCAGGAAGCAGCCCGTAGCAGCTGTCGAACTCCCAGGTACCTATATACACACAGAAATCACAATGGCGTGATATATCAATTGAATAAATCCACAAGGACTGTGAAGTTCGAACCCTCATCACGGCCCTTGTAGATTTATTCACTCCAAGGTACCTATTTTACTTCTAGGTGAACAAGTGCTTCAGAGTGAAAGAAACTTTCACTCACCAGTGTTGTTGTGTTGCAGGTGGTGGAGGCCAGCGGGTGGGGCTGGCAACACTCACCAGTGTTGTTGTGTTGCAGGTGGTGGAGGCCAGCGGGTGGGGCTGGCAACACTTCAGCATGAGGACTGAGGGCACCTCTGGGCACTTGTATGCTGGGAGGACTCTGGACTATGAGGACGCTGCCCAGCGGCGAGGCTTCCGCTTCATGGTGCAGGTCACGGACAGGGTGAGTCACGGACTGCAGGTCACGGACAGGGTGAGTCACGGGCGTCATGGTGCAGGTCACGGACAGGGTGAGTCAGGGGCTGCAGGTCACGGACAGGGTGAGTCACGGGCTGCAGGTCACGGACAGGGTGAGTCACGGGCGTCATGGTGCAGGTCACGGACAGGGTGAGTCAGGGGCTGCAGGTCACGGACAGGGTGAGTCACGGGCTGCAGGTCACGGACAGGGTGAGTCACGGGATGCATGGTGCAGGTCACAGGCAGGATGAGTCACGGGCGTCATGGTGCAGGTCACGGACAGGGTGAGTCACGGGCGTCATGGTGCAGGTCACGGGCCTTCCCGTCTTCTGTCTCCTGTGGCACTTGCTGTGGAGGATGTGGCTTCTTTGGTGGATGGGGATGGTGTGCTGCCTGGTGTTGCAGATGAAGTGCCTGCGTGTGGCTCGCAGTGCGTCCCCTTGACCTGATCGTGCTTCGTGGGCGATTTTAGCAGTTCGCTGTCTGTTGTTCGCTGATGTTGTATCATGGCATGGTACAACATCACATCTCTATCAGGTGTCATCTTCCTTGACCAACATGATACACGTGCCCTCGGATGAAACCTCACATCGACTTCATGACACAAAAATATACATCTATCCTAACATCAAATATTTTCTGGCATTCCCATATGTTAACTGTGGGTAAGCATGACTCAATGAAGACTGAGTACATTTATAATGGACTGCAGAAACATAACACTATCATAGTTTTTATTCCACAGTTCTCTAGAACAGATGTCGTTTCCCTTCTAGTGTAACTTATTAATGTTCCATATCCCCAGGGTCGAGGCGGGTGGAGCGACGCCCGACACACCGACACAGCGTGGGTGGAGGTGAGGCTCCGGGACGTTAACGACAACCCGCCACAGTTCAGCCGCCCGCACGCCCACGTCACCGTCAGGGAGGACACCGCCCCCGGCACCCTCCTCGCTTCCCTCACTGCCACGGACCCTGACATGGTGAGTCATCTGTTTTTTGTTTGGTGATGCTGGAATTAAGCTAGTGCACCATAACATACCTATATTCTCGCATTCTGTTACATGTGTTGATACACTACAGGGATGACAAATTTTCTTCCACCATCAGTTGTTAGAAGCAAACAATTATGTAATCAGATCCTAAAGGTGAAATGGAATATGACTGAGGAACAATCATATATTGATTAATAACAAGTAAATATGCAAATGATATATTGTGTATTTGTTTCAGATGGAGGAGCAGGTTGTGGAGTACCGTGTGGTGGGGGGTTGGGGGGTGGTGACAGTTGATGGTGTGGGGGGAGTGAGGTTGTGGCGCGCCCTGGACCGTGAGTCTCCTGGAGGGGAGGTGGGCGTGGCGCGGGTGGTAGCCGTGGATGATGGCCGCCCATCGCTCTCCTCCACCGCCACCCTCACCATCACCCTCACCGACGTCAACGACTGTCCGCCCCGGCTCCTACCCCCCACCGTCCTCCACGTCACAGAGGGAGCTCCTGCCTCTCTCCTGGGAATCCTCACAGCTACTGACGATGATGTCTGGGCGCTGGGGCACGGTCCGCCCTTCACCTTCACCCTGGCGCCCTCCAACCCCACCCACGTCCTCAATATTCTCAGCATCAGCTACCAGGCAGGTGAGTCCTAGACCTGCCCACGTCCTCAACATCAGCCACCAGAATGCCAGTATGGCACTAGAGATTCGCTCGCTGGTCGCCAGAGGGGGGCGGATGTGCTCAGGTGTTGCTCCCCAGTTGACAACCCAAGCATGGAGCTTGTACAAAATGAGACCTGTTAGTTGGGTGGACGGGTTGTTTGTAACACAGGCATACGCTCATACAGATCTTTAGTACAAGATCTATTTAACAAAACTGGTCTTAGTCTCTACAAATAATTAGTTAAATACTTGGGTTTAATTATCAGTTACTCTCACGTCCTGAGCATTAATTTATTAGTTATATCTCTCTCGTGCAGTAATTGCCTGGCATAGGAACTTGTTTACAGTAATATTATTTATGAGGACAGACCTGGATAGTGGGCGCGGCGGGGCGGAGGTTTGGACAGCCGGACCTTTGGACAGGGAGGAGCACCGCCAGTTGACAGCCGAGGTGGTGGTGGCGGACGCTCAGGGCCTGACAGCCGCCCACCCCATCACCGTCATTGTTGATGATATCAATGATAATCCCATGAGACCCGGCGCCAAGACAGTCTACCTATGGAAGATGCAGGTTAGTCTTGAATTCTGCGCTTAAATAATATTTTGTTGTTGTTTTATTCAGCACTGATCACACTATATGAAGCCTTTAAGACTGTGAAGTCTTCAAGCTCTATTTCATGTTCAGTCTTTATACTCGAAATGTACAGGAAATCAAGTGGGGGGAAATCAACGTACTTTAAACAGTTTTTTGTTGTTCCTCCAATATGGTGTTAAAGGTAAAATGTCATAAAGTCATATAGGTGGAGAGGCCAGCGACTGCATGTTGTTACCCAGGACGCGGGTTCGATCCCCGTCCTGCTCCAGTCATGTCCTCATCACGTTATTGTGATTTCCTTGTTTATGTGTATCTGTATGTTAATTGTGTAAGATGTGAATTGGTTTGTTTGTAACAAGTACTGCACTGTAGAAAATGAGCAACGTTTTCTATGATAATTGTCAACATATATGATTGACTCTTAAAAAAATTATTTGATTGTAGTAAATATTATTCAAAAAAACATGAATCCCAGTTCAGTAAATATAGTATGTAAGGGATATTATCAGCTATTTGAAAGATTGTCTTCACGTGTCAGCGTATAGCAGGTCACGTCACTGATGCCGGATATCCCTGAGAGATGTTAGGTAATTATGAGTAGAAAGTGCAAAGGCAATATGGCCATGTAGCATTTGGAACCCTGTAAGCACGTAACGTAACAGTCCCCTATTGTTACAACTTGTTACAAAGTTGTTAAATCTTGTTATAAAGTTTTTGTGACGTGTCAGAAAGCTGTTACAACGTGTTAAATTAAAAGGTGTTACAAACTTGTTCGAACGTTGTAACGACGTCGTAGTTTCGTCGTGTGTTTGGCGGGAAGGGGCACTGTAAGGGACCGGTCCCCAGTCACCTGAACAACCGGGGATGGAAAAGTCCCATCGGATATATAAGAATTATATCAGTAATTATATCAATTATAATTATTGCCAAACCATAATTTATTATGCATTTCTACTGTAACTTTCTAAGGTGTTGTGTGGTGAGTGTTGTTGTAATGTAACTCAGGATTCTTGGTTTAGTAAGTGACACTTGATGCGGATGTGCTTCAAAAGTTGTGTGTGTCAGTTTGTGTTGCCAAGATTTCTTAATGTCAGCTAAATCTCTCAGAAACTTAATGAACTATTTATATTTGAATTGCACATTAATAAAGTAAATGTCTTAAGGAAACAGTTGAATATATTATCAAGTAATTATGTGTTAAATTTGTTGTGCCTAAAAAAGGATATGTATCTTAATAGCATTAAGGGGCCTCGCCTAAGAATATTGACCACTGCTACTCCTGACCTTGCAACATGGTGCTCATGGTTACTGTGAATTCGACTGAAATAATATATATACTTTTAATTTTAAACTAATCATTTTCCAAATTACTTCCCCACCAGGGCGGAGGTGCGGATGCTGCCCTGGGCAGAGTGTACGTGGAGGACCCGGATGACTGGGATCTCCAGGATAAAACATTTGCCTGGGCAGGACCTCCCCATCCACTCTTCACCCTCCAACCTAACACTGGAGATATATTTGCCTCCACGCAACTCAGAGAAGGAAGGTAAGACTGTTCTTATGACCATAGTTGTTGCGTGCAATATTGCTAGAAAAGGTATGAAGGAATTCTCAGAAGAAAGCACCGTGCTGACGGGATGATTCGGTATGAAACACGTTTGTGTTTTACAGCATTTGGTCAAATTTCGCTTTTTTTGTGGATAGAGGTTGGTAACTGTCAGTATTTTTAACCAGTTAATTTAATTAACTAGTATTCCGAATCATTAAATGGAGGCTGTGGAAACCGAAATACAATGCATTGTTTGTGTACACACACACACACACACACACACACACACACACACACACACACACACACACACACACACACACACACACACACACACACACACACACAATCTCTCTCTCTCTCTCTCTCTCTCTCTCTCTCTCTCTCTCTCTCTCTCTCTCTCTCTCTCTCTCTCTCTCTCTCTCGTGCATATAAAAACAAGACAAAACATTTATTTCTTGGTTTATTATGTATCTCTACACTGGCTTCATTGAATAGTTAAAAAATGCAAATTTCTAGAGACCTGATTAAGTTTGAAGATTGCAGACCAGATGTTACAGTCAGATGGTATAGTGTATTGATCTTTCACACACACACACACACCTGTGCAAGTTTATTCATTAGATTAAAAACCAACACAGAAACATCCCTGATTCATTATCATTTCATATTAGAACACTGATTATAAAGTTGTAACGCTTTCGCCGCTCTCGCCGCTCTCGCCGCTCTCTCGTCCCAGGTACGAGCTGCACTTCCGAGTATCAGACCGTGTGTGGGGTCAGCAGGACGTGCCGGCCAATGTGACGGTGATGGTGAGGTACCTGTCCCTCGAGGCTCTGGCCCACGCCGTGCCCGTCACCCTGATGCCCACCATACCCGCCTCGCTCACCGCTGGCTGGACGCCGCTGGTAATACCCATCTTGGGGATTGGCTTTATACACTTGTGTAGAGGATGTTTCCTGGTTTTTGTTTGCTTGGCAAATGTACACAGATTGTCAAGATGTCACAAGCAATCATGGTTTGGTATGATTGGTTGTGGTTAGATATGGCATGGTTGGTACAAGTGGTTGTGGTTAGATATAGCATGGTTGGTACAAGTAGTTGTGGTTTGATATGTCATGGTTGGTACAAGTAGTTGTGGTTAGATATGTCATGGTATAAGTAGTTGTGGTTTAATATGTCATGGTTGGTACAAGTAGTTGTGGTTTTGCTACACCGTTTTTTCAGTAACCCAAGTTGTATTAAAAGTTGTATCTCAGTAAAGTAGACATTTAGTTTTCATGAGATTTGTTGGTGATGATCTTATGGAATAGGAGGGAAGAAATAATCAAAGTTACTCTATCGTTTTGCGATGTATATATAATTATCTAAATAAAAAACTTACTTGAATTTGAATCTAATGGAATTGTTGTTACTGTAATGACCCATAATATTTTCTTGAAATTTATAAAAAATAATGATGTATGTATAGGGAACGTTTTAGTTCTTAGTTTTCTTAACCAGTGTAAAATTTTAAAATTATATTTGATTTGATTGTGTTACACATGTGGACCTATTTTTTTTAAGCACTTAATATGTTTATAATTCTTCTGAAGCATGGTGGTGGTGGACTTGGTCGACTGACAGAAGCAGTGATGCAGGTGGTAGGGAGGAGTGCTGATGCTGTGGAGATCGTCAGTGTGTATGGCCTCCAGGCTCCAGAAACCTTCCCCGTTCCAACCTTCCCGAATTATCTGCTGAAGCCGGTCGTTCACGGCTTCAGTCCTGTCATCCAAGCCTTACCTTCTCCATCCCCCTTTGCCTGTGTGTGGGTGAGCGTAAGACAAGCTGACGGTGTTTTCATAGATCCGGTCAAGTTACACGGCCTGCTAGCCCTCCATTTGCAACATGTGAGTAATATAGGCTTTCAGCAGATTCTTGTAACATCTTTAATACTAGACTTCAACTACAGTATTATCTTCCGCTGTGGTCCATGCCACTATCAAAGTCTACATTTTATCTGATGTAGACTTTGATAGCTATCAAATTATGATTAGAGTTCAATTTAAAATGGCATAAGTTAAATACAGAACGATTAATTGAAACCTCAGTTAAAGGACCTATTTTTTGTTCAATATAGTTTCTGCTCTTTCAATACACTTTTATCGTGAAACTGATACCTGGATTCCACCAGAGAAGTCTTGTTCTAGTATCCTACTGAAGTACTCATTCTATAATCTTTCAATATCATCAGTTGAAATGTATTTCACTTAATTCCTCTTTGAGTGGATGTGATTGTCTTTATAGGGTTCAGGAAAACATCCTTATCTTCATAACGAGCCAGCAACACGATCTTTCGGCAACACACAACATTATTTATATTTCGTTGTGTAGCTCATCTGTGAAGCGATGAAGAATTCAACTTGTTCACTTTTGACTTCATTCCATAATAGTACCTACATCCATCCTATCTCCAGCTTGAAAGGGTAATGAACCTGCGGGTGGCGCTGGAGGATGCTCAAACCATGGAAGAGAATAATGAGAAGTCAGCATCTGGTTCTTCCATATTTTCCTTCCTAGATGACTCCTCCCCTCATGACCCTTCATCTGTAGCGTCCCTGGCATCAGCGGCACTCCCTCTTCAGGTAAGTCCTCCCACAACCATGTCTAAAGTTTATGATTCTTCCTGAGCTAGAGTGCTCGATTATATGCATTTCTTAATGCCTCCCATATATTTAAATAAAGTAGTTAGGGTCAAACTGTTATAGAAACTGGATGCAGGATGTTGCAAACGTACCTTTTAGATAACCATTATGCAGTTGTCCATAATTCCATTTAACCATTTTCTAGAGAAGCACATGCTAAGGTGAAACTTAGTTAATAGACGTACCAAGTGCTGTTTAGCGCATTAGGCTACTTGCTATCTGAGCAAGATAATGCTCTGGTAAGCATACACCACACACACACACACACACACACACACACACACACACACACACACACACACACACACACACACACACACACACACACACACACACACACACACACACCTCACCGTCAACACCCCCCCCTCACCACCACCCACTGTCAACACCCCCCTCACCACCACCCACCATCAACACCCCCCCCTCACCACCACCCACCGTCAACACCCCCCCCCCCTCACCACTACCCACTGTCAACACCCTCCTTTTCCTATATAAGTCTGGCCAATTTGCAGGTGGTGGACACCAACACTACATCGCTAGTGACTCCACGGCTGACACGAGCTCATGATTGTGACCCTCGCTTACAAAGTGGAGACGAGACCTGTACACCAATATCCTGCCTGAATGGTGGCCGTTGTGTGAGAACAGATATCGGGAAAAGGTATGTCCAGAGCTGCTGCAGTCTTCTCACTACATGATCCATCGACTTAGACGATGGCCACTTTCCAGCTGAGATTCTCCATCAAACACCATTCCTATATAAGTTTCTATCTTAAATGTGTGTATTGTAAACCGCCACTGCTCTCCTATATTCCACTATTCTCCCTCTAATCCTCCCGTTGCTCATGTTCCTGTTTTCTTTCCATTCATCTGGGTAATTTGGGCTCTCTTTACAGACACTGATACAGCTTTGATTTCGAATAACTTTGAAAAATATAAATTGTCTCATTTTTCTCTTAGTGATTATCATTCATTCCATCGTCTTAAAATAATAGTACTCTTTACTCTTTAAAAACTAAGATTCAAATATACTGTTAAAACTACCATTCATTGCGCCCTTTTGAAACCTTTCTTTAATACTGCATCCAGTGTAGACGATGGTTGCTACACTGGTTGGTATGGTATGGTACTATGGTAGTTTAAGGGGGCGTCTGGTTGGCATCTGGGTCCAAAAATGCAAAAATGAAAACTCATTCGATTTCAATCAAACTTTTTTGACAAGTTCTATATGAAAAGTGTTTCATCTGGTCCAAGTTTCAGCATTGTAGCATAAATAGGAAGGGAGAAAAAAAATATTGAAGTAGTTGTGAAAATTATGCAAAAATGGTCAAAATCGATTATCAATCAAAAGTGTCAACTGAAATCATAACTACAACTCTTTGCTATCACAATAGCATATATTAAACAAATATTATTATTAGTTTAATTGGAAAAAAAATTTAAGGAAAAAAAAAAAAAAAGGATTTTTTTTTCTTTTTTTTTTTTAAATATTTTTTTTTTTCATTTTTTTTTGGGGCGATTTGCATCAAACTTACACACCTGACTGTACGTAAGCCTATCTGTAAGGATGCCAATTTTGGAGAAAATTGGTTGATGTCAACCCCAGCCACAGATTTTAGAACCTTAGACTTTATTCATTTCTGTTTTTTTTTCAATTGACACAAACGTTTACAAAACTCATTCTTTTTTTATTCAATTTACATGAAACTTACACAGTATATGTGGAGGGCATGTCTCTACATTGGGGGGCTTTCATTTTTCTCTAAGTTCATTTATTGATTTTATAATAGCAATAAACATGCCATATTTGCAAAAAATTTTTGGGGAACTTTGAACATTTGTATTAGGAAAACTAAAGATGTTTTGGAAATTCTAAATCCCCAAATCCTTTATTATATGCTAATGTGTCAGAAAAGTGTCACAGAATAATTTTATCTGAAACGTGTGTTCTGAAGTGTGGACTTGAAAATGTGTAAAAAACGTTCAAAAAAAAAAAAAAAAAAAAAAAACTCCCTTTCTATTTACGCTGCAGTACTGAAACTTGGGACAATTTAAGCACTTTTCATATACAACTAGAAAAATAATATTGGTTGACATTGAACAACTTTCATTATAATAACCAGACGCCCCCTTAAGATAATGAGGATTCGAACCTATGTGATGAGTGTTCCTTGAAACACGCTTTTGACTTTTGTCGTTGTCCTAGTCGTCCAGCGCGTGCGTCTGGGAATACCCTGCAGCGCATTGGTTCGAATCCACATCACGGCTCCTGTGGATTTTTTCATAGGATGTAATTATATTCTTTTAATTTGACATACTGACAACCCACGTGGTGACATTAACAGATGTGTGTGTCCAGGAGGCTCCTGGGGACCTCAGTGTAAGGTTCTTGGTCGCACTTTCTCGGGATCGGGCTGGGCTTGGGTTCAGCCACTGCCGCCATGCCTCCCCACCACGCTTTCATTACGCCTCTTGTCACGCAATCCCGATGCACTGATCCTCTATTCCGGACCCCTGTCAAGCACTTCCACCCATCCGCACTACCCGCCCACACCCATGGTGGCGCTGCAGCTGGTGGGTGGGCAGCCTCAGCTTATACTGGAAGGGGCAAGAGGACCAGTCAAGCTTCATGTCAACACTACACTGAACACCGGCACTTGGCACACCATTCATCTGCATCTCAATGCTCAGGTAAACTCTTCACTGCAGTGCCCCAGGGTTATGCCCTGAGACCTCTGCTGTTTACCATATATTTTAACGCTCCAGACACAAGATTGAACACCATCATAAGCAAATTTACAAGTGACATTTAAAACGGGAAGAAATAAATTTAGAATACTAAAAAATTATGCAAGACGACTAAGGCTTTTAACATGCATGAATGATTAATAGATTAGCTGAATGTTGACAAATATAAGCTTCTAGAACATGGAAAGTATTTTGAAGGAAATAATAATAGTTATTTATAGATATTATTCTATAGATTTATAGATTATTATTTTTTTAAATAATAATAATAGTTACCAGATATTAGGTGGACAGTGGCGAAATTAACAAATCTGAATGCGAAAATGATACGGGGAGATTTCAAACTACGAAAAAAATATACAAATATTTGAAAAGAACCAAATAAGATAAAATATTTGGATTCATTTCTAGAAATATCAACAACAAGACAACTAATGTTTTTCTTCAGTTTCATCTTGAGCTTCTAAGACTGCATTGAGATTATACACTTCAGTTTTGGTCATTATATTACAAAATGGACATAAATGTCACCAGAAAGAATTCAAAGAAGGATGGAGTTTATCCTGGGCACTTTAAAAGAGCTCAAAGAAAGAGATTTAATAAGTTGTTTATATTTGCTTCAATGCCAAGAAGAGTAAGGTATGACTTGATTGAAATATACAAATAAATGAAAGGATGTAACAGGAGGGATGCTAATTGTGCTAAATATATCGGCAAAAAAATTAACATGAAACATTGTTTACAAAAAGTTTAAGTTTAGATTAAAAAAAGGTCAGAGAAAATAATGGCTTGTAAATAGCTTATTTATGAAATAGGCTGCCGGCTACCACAGTAGTCGTGGGGGTCTCTGGGAAGCTTCCAGCAGAGGTTTGACAAAAAATATGAATAGTCGTAGTTGAATTTAAATAAGAACTGCCTCTCTTGGGGCAAATAGGCTCGGTTTAATTTTTCTCTTCATTTTCTTTCATGTAATGCTTTTTTTCGATCTTTTATCCCATATCCTTTCCAATAGGGAGTAACGCTAATGGTGGATATGTGTGGGCGTGGGTGGGATGCTGACAGAACCAGTGATACCCATTGCATTGCAAGAGCCCCATGGGTGGACGCTCAGGTAACTGAGAGCTGGAGTAGCAGCGTGCCTCTCCAGCTTGGTGGCCTTGCCCACCTGTATCCTGAAGCTGCAGTATTTGGTTGGTCTGGTGGGCTTGTAACCCAGGCCTTAAATGGCTGCATCTCTCGCCTCACAATTAATGGACAGGTAATGGTGTGATGGGATGTTATTGTATTTTGAGATTTTATAGAATAATATATTACCGTAAATTGATCATTTCAAAAATTGAAAAATTTATCATTTTTAACATTAAAAGACAAAGAGTTTGAATTCAGCAGGAATTTTGAATTGAATGAATATAAAATATAATTTATGACCATCATGCATATAATGAACATGCTTAAATGTTATTGCATTCCTCAGCTAGTTGACTTGGGTGAGCCAGCATACAGTAGTGGAAGCGTCAAGGGATGCAAACCTCAGGAGGTGGCTTGTGAAACCACTTTTGCCTCCTGTGGTACTCAAGGCTCTTGTGTTGGTGGCCTCATTAACCCTAGATGTGACTGTAATCCAGGCTGGACAGGGCCTGAGTGTACCACACCCACTGTACCAGTTGCTCTTGGCCAAGCTTCCTACACAAAGGTAGCTCTGTCCTTCACGCCAGACCCTCATGATGTGACACTGCAACTACGAGTGAGAGCTCGAGGTCGTCCTGAGGGTCTCCTGATGCAGCTCACTGACAGCCAACAGACTCATGCCTTGAAATTGCATGTAAATTCTCAATTATTACTCCAACTCCATTGTTAAAAATGATTGCCCATTCATCTACCTTTGAGAAATATGATAATAATAATACAGCTTTTATGTGAAAGGTGATTATTTAATTATGTTGACAGCTACGTGGTGGAGTAGCCTGCGCTTGTGTTTCTGGGGTGGAACGAGCACTTCAAGAGGTGTGTTTAGAGGGTTTCCCAGTGGGCGATGGGGCATGGCACACTATACGAGTAGGTCGCCATGGACACAACCTAATCATCTCTGTTGATGACAGTGATGGGTGGCGACAGAACGAGACTCTGACAACTCTACTTACCACCACCATCCATGGAGACATGCAGGCCGTTGTCAATGAACCCCCCGCGCCACTCTCTCTCGACATGGAAGACGGAATACTTGTGGGAGGCATCCCGAAGTTTGTGGATCATACCCTGTTGACGGTGCACGATGATCTTCAAGACTGTAAGTGAAAATCTCTATATTTTCAGTACCTTCTTATGCAGCTGATTGATGTTCATAGATTCTTACTCACTACTGGAGCACGTCATCATGACTCACAGCCTAAATTATTCTGATCCCTCAGTTAAGTTGATCATATTTCTTGGTTTACAGTCATTTCTAAAAACTTAAATTATTTTAATATGTAGTTACATATTATAATTACAGATTATAGAGTTACATTATAATTACATATTATATAGTTAAACATAATAATATAGTTATATATTAAAGGGTCTTGTAGTACAGTTGGCTTCATTCGATCTCGACTCACAATTGGGGATCCTGGGAACGATTTCCAACGGAACAGAAATGGTTAAACACGTTTCCTTTTACCTAATGCCTATGTTCACCTAGCAGTAAATAGGGAGTTAGGCAACTGACTTGTGGGGGCTTCATCTTGAGGAAGGTCAGTAGTTCAACCTCGGGGAGGGGGGGAGCGGTAAACCTTGATACAGGTCTAAAATGTAAATAAGCACAGGCTTCCTCTTCCAGACTATATTAATTAATATAAAAGCCAGGATACTTGGCTTTTACTCGCCAGGAAGCCCGGGTTCGGTTCCCGGCATGGAAAGCAGTTTAGCAGTCCCTGAGGCGAAATGGTAGCACACTCTGCTGGCGTTTCGCGAGGGCTTTGGCCTGGGTTCGTATCCTGGCCGGGAAAGATTTACTGGGTGCCAATCCTTAACTGCAGCCCCTGTTCATCCAGCAGTGAATGGGTACCTGGTTGTTAAACGATTCAGCGGTTCGTATTTCGGGGAAAATTATAGTTAAGGACCTGGCTGAAGTGCTATGCGTACTAGTAGCTGTACAAGAATGTAAGAACTCTTGTATATATAAATAACAAAAAATAAAAAATGACAAGACGTTGTATTCACCTTGTTGTTCTTGGGGGGGGGGTTGAGCTTTGGCTCTTTCAGCCTGCCTCTCAACTGTCAATCGATCAACTTTTGATTCACCCCCCACACACACACCCAGGAAGCAGCCCATAACAGTTATCTAACTCCCAGGTACCTATTTACTGCTAGATAACATGGTGAAAGAAACTCTGCCCATTTGTTTCCATCATCACCGGGGATCGATCCCTGGACCATAGGACTACGAATACAGAGCACTGACCACTCGGCCGCAGGCCCCCTATATATCACATTGGTGTTCGTACCCTTACACCTGATGCCTCTGTTTACCTAGTATTAAATAGGTTCCCGGGAGTTGGTAGACTGTTGAGGGTTCCATTCTTGTGTTGAGTTGCCGGCTTTCTGTGGCTGATAATGGCAAACTAAAATAATTTGTAGAGTTGTTGGTTTACTTTGCTGTTACCCCCCTTTTTCTAGCATGTTAAGTTTTCTTTTAGTTGTTTTAAGAAAACAGTTCCATAAGGGTAACTATCATATTTTAGTAAAAAACTGCCCTCTTTATATATATATATATATATATATATATATATATATATATATATATATATATATATATATATATATATATATATATATAGTTAGTTAGTTCCAGAGATATCAGAGAAATAGCAACTGGAGTTCAACACGAGCAAATGTAAAGTTTTGGAAATTGGATTAGGTGATAGGAGACCAAAGGGCAGTACACAATAAAGGGGAACTGCCTACCTATGACGATTCGAGAAAGAGACCTGGGCGTGGACATGTGGGCATACCACCTAATCTAACTCCTGAGGCACATGTAAATACGATAACGATAGCAACGTACTCTTCACTGGCAAAAGTTAAAACATCATTCTGAAACCTAAGTAAGGAGGCTTTTAGGGCGCTTTATATTGCCTGCATGAGACTAGTCTTATAGTATGCCATGCGATCATGGAGTCCCCACCTGAAGAAACACAGAAGGAAACTGGAAAATGTTCAGAAGTCTTGCGATGAGGCTCATCCCCGAGTTACGAGGGATGGGGTATGAAGAGCGCCTGAAGGAACTGAACCTTATGACACTAGAAAAAAAAGGGAGAGGGGGAATATGATAGAAACATATTAAATTCCCAGGAAATTGACAGAGTGGAAACAGACGAAATGTTCATACGGAATACTAACAGAACGAGGGGTCATGGGTAGTAGCTGGAAACTCAGATGAGTCACATAGATGTTAGGAAGTTTTCTTTTAACATGAGAATAGTGAAAAAATGGAATGCACTTAAGGAGCAGGTTGTGGAAGCAAACTATTCATAATTTTAAAATTAGATATGATAGGGAAATAGGGTAGGAGTCATTGCTATAAACAACTTATGGCTAGAAAGGCGGGATCCAAGAGTCAGTGCTCGATTCTGCAGGCACAAATAGGCGAGTACACACACACGTTAGGTTTATAGGGAGACCTGTCCTTTTCCTCCCCGAAGGTCGAACTACTGACCCTCTCCAGGATGCAATACAGGTCCAGGTGGAACCTCTTGTGTTATTCAATGCTTTAATTTCAACAGGTTGTGTTGATGATGTACGTGTGTCCGGTCACCCCCTTCCACTTGCGCCTTCTGTAAACAGTACCAGCTGGAGTAAGGTTACTACCCTTCACAACATCAAGGAAGGTTGTTCAGCCCCTGATGCCTGCGCCAACATCACCTGCTGGCCTCCCTTATCCTGCCATGACTCTTGGAGGCATGCCACTTGCAGGTGAGAACAGTCGTTGCCACAGTTAAGAGGAGTGAGAAATTATTGGAGAATTATGAGGATAAAGATATTAAGATATACAGGAAAATGGGACATAAGTGAAATATTTTCAAGGGATTCTTGGACTATATCAGTTAACTTATAATGTCTGCAAAAGGTGCATTGTACACAAAGTTGTTTTCTTTATGCAGAAGCAGATTGTTAATGTGATGAAAGAGGATTATGAATTCTGATAGTAAACAAGTTAAGGTTTTGATAAAGAAATATTATGGTTCACTGTTTTTTTGATCTGTATATCTCCATCTGGTGTGACACATTTTAACTCAAATCAGGTCAGTTTTTTTTTATACATCCATAAACCTAGTTTATGTACCCTGAGTTTATATACATTGACCAAAACGGGGAGAAATTACTGTACTTTGTACTCCTACATGATGTTTTAATGTTAGATCTTGCATTTTTCCCTCTGATGCATATACCATTGTTGAGTGGTCGGTTAGTGGTTAGACAACCCGAAGGGACTGAAACACCACAAATTTCAAAATTTTAAGCTCGAAATTTGCACTTTATATTTTTGAAGAACTTTTTTATGTGAATTATAAGTTTACATATTCAGTAGTTAACCATCTGTTTACTGGCATCAATGATAAGTCGACTTCAAATGAATGCAAAAAGTGGTGATGCAACTGCTTACTAGACCTATTTTTTAAATAATTTTGTTGATTATACTTAAAAGTTGTTTATGTACAGGCTAATTTTTCCATACTACCATTTGCAGCTGTGAGTCAGGTGAGCAGGTGGTGGGGCACAGCTGCCAGGATGTTGATGAGTGCGTGTTCCAGCCGTGTCTCCACGGGGGCACCTGCTACAACCTCACACCTGGCTACCACTGTTTGTGTGCTCCAGCCCACACTGGAGACAACTGTGAATGGTCCAAGTTGCCACCAGACTCCCATCCTCTCACAGCTCCCATGGCCATAGCTGCCCTTACACTCTCTGTGCTTATTGTTGGTGAGTTTCATATTGTCTATATCACTGTTGGCTGGTCCAGCCCACACTGGAGACAACTGTGAATGGTCCAAGTTGCCACCAGACTTCCACCCTCTCACAGCTCCCATGGCCATAGCTGCCCTTACACTCTCTGTGCTTATTGTTGGTGAGTTTCATATTGTCTATATCACTGTTGGCTGGTCCAGCCCACACTGGAGGCAACTGTGAATGGTCCAAGTTGCCACCAGACTCCCATCCTCTCACAGCTCCCATGGCCATAGCTGCCCTTACACTCTCTGTGCTTATTGTTGGTGAGTTTAATTATTGTTGAATTGCTTTCATAATTTATCCTTATTAGCTGCAGTTTGTTTATGGCGGTATTTTGTTTCTAAATTTTCATTATTTACTTGAAGCTAGTTTTGTTGGGGCATAAGGAGGATTTAGGGATTGTTAGGAGCTATTATCTACTTCATAAACAAAGTTATTTTTTATTAAGAAGAAATTATTTTCATTCATTATATTCAATAAATAAAATAGGATTGAAGAGATTATAATTTGGAAACATTTTCCAAATTCTATGTTTCCATGCAAACAGTCTTATTAGTCTTCATTAATACTCATATCCAATATAATAAAAAATAATTTGCCAAGGGCATGCAGTGTATTCCATTTGTAAAAATGAATAAACCTACATAAATATATTTAGAATAAATTTTGGGTGAGAATTTATTTTTATAATATAATGTATACCTTCAGTTGATGTTAAATTACTATTATTCAGTGACTTCCCTCCCTAATTCTGGGAGGAAATTATCAGGGAAAATGCCAAGTCATTACGACTATTATAGCACATGGAAGGGGTCAGAATAAGGATGTGGGATGGGACGGGGGGGGGGGAGGAATGGTGCCCAACCACTTGTGGACGGTCGGGGATTGAACGCCAACATACATGAAGCAAGACCGTCGCTCTACCGTCCAGCACAAGTGGAGAGTCTACATTTAAATGATGCTGTCAAGTGTGCAGCCAGTCAAAATTGTCGATCTGCGTTTCACATGTGGTGCTTTAGCTATGCTAAAGGGTTCCTTAGAAGATGAATGCATATTTCAACCTTTCTTTACCATAAGTCATAGAAATACAGTAGTTCTATAAATATTATATATTTTCAGTTTCTCAAAATTTCCCAAAAATCGAAAGCAAAAAAATTTTGACTTTCAGATGGCAACATTTAAAACTCCTAATGAATACTGAAATTTTAACCTAAATTAAAACAACAACAGAAATTCATTATAAGGTTTAAACCATACTTTAAAAATGACAGATTTCATTATTTTAAATATGCTTAACTAGTGGTAAATATTTTTGTCACTACCACAGATTAAAATGTTCTCACAGTAGGCCATTGACCAAGTTTTAACTCACTCCTTACCTCCACAGTGTTGATAGGTGTCCTGCTGAACCTCCGCCTCCACCGGTCGCGTGCTGCCCGGGCCCTGGCCCTACGCCCAGGTGGTGTAGAAGGTGTGACGGGTGTGGTTCTGGGCACCCCCATGGCGGTACAGGCAGTCACCGACAACCCCCACACCCAAGCTGCTAAGGAAGAAAGCGTCTTTATGGAGTCATTGATGATCAAACCACCAAGCAAACAGATTGTTCTGACCCCTGAAGGTATGAAGCAGAGGGGAAAAAAGGGAAAATACTACATTCCGATGTCCCGGTAGTACAGGTGGGTTCGTTCCGGACTTACAGTCAGGAATTCTGGATTCAAATTCCAGGCAGGGGCAGAAATGGTTGGGTGCGTTTCCTATCACCTGATGCTCCTGTCCACCTTGCAGAAAATAGGTACCCAGGAGTAAGTCAGCATGTTGTAGGGTTGCACAATGATCAATTATTATTTATGAATAATGTATAGTAATTATCCTATGAAATTACAGTATATTAAATCTGGCAGTTTTTATTTAAGCTTAATTGAAAATTTAATGTAAATATTTGATGTTTAATTACAAAATAAAAAAATTACTTGATTTCTATATTTTGTAATTAAATGCTGTCATACTCACCTGTTTTTTAAAGTAATGAAGCTTCTCTATAAACATTTGTAACAGATGCACAGAACTAATGCCTAGACAGTAGGAAAGTAGAGGGGAAGGAGATCAGGAGAGTGAAGATGGGGTGAAGTCACAGGTGTGAGGCTCTGTGCAGTCAAGTTGTTATACCTGTATTATTTATGCATTTTTTAACACTGCTGAATATTCATTCTGTTCGATCATGCCGCCTGATGGCTGCGAATTCTATGCACTGTCTCGTATTTTAATTTTTTATGAGTTTAGTGTTTCTGAAGTTAATGTGGTGTTGCATCTGGCACCTTGTAACAGTTTTGTCAAAGTATATACAATACTGCTAAAACTTGTTGAAATTTAGATATAAGAGATTACTAACTTCATCAATTCAGCAATTGTTGCTTCAAATAGTGTAACATATTAGATGTTAAGGTAATAATATGTTTAACATGTTTGTCTCACTATCGGAGAGAATTCATCGGTCACCACATTGTGCTCTCTTCCACCCTCTATTCAGGAACGTTGAGCACAATGCACAGCACTTTCTTAATGAGCAATTTATTTTCTATTACTTGCAGGTACCGAACACTTAGTTACTCCTTTAGGGCTGTCCACTGTGGGTGGTGAGACCTTGGCCATCAGGGAGGTCAGACACCTAGTTCCAGGGAACACCACAAAAATTCCCAGTGCAGATGGTGTTGAAAACAAGAATATAATTATCCCTCAGAGATGCTCAGTTGCAGCAGTTACTACTACTACCACTACAATGGGTGGTGTAGTTCTGGAGAACAGAACAGTATGTTCTGCAGCACCAACAGGAGCTCGACAAATCATCATAGATGTCGGTGTGGGTTCTGTTCAAAATATATTGGCCCAAGATGACCTTCGAGCTTATGCATACGAGGGAGACGGCTCGCCATCTGGGTCACTCACTTCTACTGTTTTAGGTCAGTATAACAGTTAAATTAATTAGCTGTGGCTACTTGTGGTATCTGTTAAAACCAGTTTACCAAATCCTATGTAAATATCTAGATTTACATAGGATTTGCTACCATTTTAATGCTTTATCATGAAATCCCCTTTACTGAGCTGCATTTATCCACGACTCTAAAAGATAAATCGATTTGCAGCGCGTTATCCAGAACAGTAAAATAGTCGGGCAAGTAAGATATTCCGCATTGATACCATAGGGCGTGGGAGTTGCTGCACAGTGCTTATCCAATCTGGATAAGAAAATATTCTCAAATGTCTGTTCTCAAATCTGAAGCAGTAGAGCCCCAGGGACATCTTGCAAGTGCCTGCCAATGTTAGCTGTTAATAGTCCTAGCAGCCAATCATTCAAGGTCCTATTAATGCAGTAATATGAATGGTAATAAAGCAGGTAGTAACATATAAGTGCAGCAACATATGAGGTAGTAAAGTGAGCAGTAACATATAGAGGTAGTAAAGCAGGCAGTAACATATAGGGTAATAAAGCAGACAGTAACACATAGGGTAGTAAAGTGGGGCAGTAACATGTAGGGTAGTAAAGCAGGCAGTAACATATATGGTAATAAAGCAGGCAGTAACACATAGGGTAGTAAAGCAGGCAGTAACATGTAGGGTAATAAAACAGACAGTAACACATAGGGTAGTAAAGCAGGCAGTAAAATGTAGGGTAATAAAGCTGGCAGTAACACATAGGGTAGTAAAACTGGCAGTAACATGTAGGGTAATAAAACAGACAGTAACACATAGGGTAATAAAGCAAGCAGTAAAATTTAGGGTAATAAAGCTGGCAGTAACACTTATGATAGTAAATCAGGCAGTAACACATAGGGTAGTAAAGCAGGCAGTAACACATAGGGTAGTAAAGCAGGCAGTAACATGTAGGGTAGTAAAGCAGGCAGTAACATATATGGTAATAATGCAGGCAATAACACACATGGTAATAAAGCAGGCAATGGCCCACATGGTAATAGAGCAGGCAATAGCACACATGGTAATAGAGCAGGCAATAGCACACATGGTAATAGAGCAGGCAATAGCACACATGGTAATAAAGCAGGCAATAGCCCACATGGTAATAGAGCAGGCAATAGCCCACATGGTAATAGAGCAGGCAATAGCCCACATGGTAATAGAGCAGGCAATAGCACACATGGTAATAGAGCAGGCAATAGCACACATGGTAATAAAGCAGGCAATAGCCCACATGGTAATAGAGCAGGCAATAGCCCACATGGTAATAGAGCAGGCAATAGCCCACATGGTAATAGAGCAGGCAATAGCCCACATGGTAATAGAGCAGGCAATAGCACACATGGTAATAAAGCAGGCAATAGCACACATGGTAATAGAGCAGGCAATAGCACACATGGTAATAGAGCAGGCAATAGCACACATGGTAATAGAGCAGGCAATAGCACACATGGTAATAGAGCAGGCAATAGCACACATGGTAATAAAGCAGGCAATAGCCCACATGGTAATAGAGCAGGCAATAGCCCACATGGTAATAGAGCAGGCAATAGCACACATGGTAATAAAGCAGGCAATAGCACACATGGTAATAGAGCAGGCAATAGCACACATGGTAATAGAGCAGGCAATAGCACACATGGTAATAGAGCAGGCAATAGCACACATGGTAATAAAGCAGGCAATAGCCCACATGGTAATAGAGCAGGCAATAGCCCACATGGTAATAGAGCAGGCAATAGCCCACATGGTAATAGAGCAGGCAATAGCCCACATGGTAATAGAGCAGGCAATAGCACACATGGTAATAAAGCAGGCAATAGCACACATGGTAATAGAGCAGGCAATAGCCCACATGGTAATAGAGCAGGCAATAGCACACATGGTAATAAAGCAGGCAATAGCACACATGGTAATAAAGCAGACAATAACACACATGGTAATAAAGCAGACAATAACACACATGGGGTAATAAAGCAGACAATAACACACATGGGGTAATAAAGCAGGCAGTAACATACAAAGTAGTGAAGAGAGAACACAGACTAATTAACACCGATGGGAATACACCCCAAGATGAAAGTAGACTTAATTTATTGTTGATAACTTTTTCCTGTAAGATATTAATTAAATTAATCAAGACATGCAATATAAGTGCTCATGAGAGGGGCTCAGGTGAGGAACTGACGAGGTTCCTGAGGGGATGTGAGGCATTGTTTTCTTGATATTTATGAAGTATTCATTCAACAAGAGGAGTAGTCGTCTTGAGTGTTCCTTAGTTTTGTTTGATGGCTGCTAAAGTAATAGTTGATGAATATATATAAGTTGTCAAATATAATTTCCCGTGCCTTTCACACTGACCTTTAACCTCACACCTCCTCCTCCCGCCTGTTTCAAGTCCTTGTATATGCTAGAACTGTAGGATTATGTTATATTTAAGTTCTTATAGGCGAAGACTCGTCTGCAAATAGAATAGGTTCTCATTCTAGTGTTTCTCTGCTTTAAATAATATCTAAGTAACTCCTTTTTGGAAAATGCTTTTCAGTTTTTATTTATATGTTCGTCATAATTTCTTCAGATAATTTATAGGTCTTCCCAGAAACAATATAGACCGAAATTAGTACACTAAGAAAAAATATATGCCGATTGCTAAGCAAAGCAAGTACAGTATAAATTTATAAAGGCACATTTAAATGCATTTTTAAAGTCTGAGTCAAAAAGCATGTGTATCTAAAATTAAAAGGAAATATAAAATACATTTCATTTATGCTAAAGAGGTGTTTTTATAAACAGGTTTATAAAATCCTGTTACCACTTAGCAGTTTAGCACCAGGCTAAAGCTTAATTTATTAAGTCTTAACATTATTCAGATGTTACATGTACAAGCATCAACACTACACAGTGCATTGTCCCAATGGACACAATATCCAAAAGTGGCGTTGGTTCCACGTTGAATCAACGTTATCAGCTTTAATTCAACGTTGATTAATGTTGATAATAGCAATGAAATGGTGTTGCTTTGGGATATTGTGCCCGTTGGGGTATTGGTTTAGGGTAATGTTGGCTTTTTTATTATTTATATGATCAAAAAGTCTATTTTTTGCTGTCTTGATGGCTGATGGCTGTTTTGATCATTAATATTTTGTGTTGGTACATCAAGGCAAATGACTCCTGCAGGTGAGTACATAGATGCCCTGAGGGCTCTTCACTCCTCTATTATTTAACAACCAATCCCTTCACTGTCGTCTTTTTTCATTTTTCCTTCTGCTATAATTTTCTTATTTTTTCTCCTCTTCTGCGCTTCCTAGTCCCTTTCCATCTTTCCCCTCTCAACTTTCCCTCCTTTCTGTCTTTCTTTCTTTTTTTTTCTTTCTTCGCTTCCACTCTACTATTCGTTTTACAGAACCTTCTCTGCTCCCCCTTAATACTGCTCCTTCGTCTCCTTCCACCTATTTTCACCCTTCGTTTCCTATTCTCTCTTCCTTTCACTCCGTCTATACCCATTTTCTCATCCTTCTTTCCCTGCTGCTTTATTCAACTTTCCTCCCTTTTAGCCCTTTTCCTTCCCCTTGGTTGGCTCATGTCCTGTCTCCTCTTCTGTTCCCAATGATCCCTCCTCTTCTGCTACAACTCATCTTCCTCTTCTCTTCTCCTCTCTTCTTCTTGGTATGTCAAATTTGTTTGGTTTCACAGGTCTGCGCACAGAGTCACCAGAGGACAACGTGAAGCCTCTATTACCAGAGTGTGGGGAGGTGCTGGATCTCCTCAAAAACCTCCCAGATTCTGTCACTTCAGCGCATAGCAATGAGAGTTCTCATCCCTCGACTATTCCTGATAAATCAGTTCAGGGATCCTCAATTCCAAGAGCCAGAGAAACTGGCATAAATATCACTTGAGGTTAACATTTGAACAGTTGCATCTTAAAGAAGATAAGCTTGCTTCAGCGCACACACTCACACACCCACAAGTTTGCAAAGACTTTATTTTGATGTGTGTCAAGTTGAGGCGTGAAAGTAATAATTATGCCAAAGCACATGCAGTCCCTTAATATCAGTCTTGTTTTATGAACTTCGATTCGTTACAGTCAACGTTTTTATTTTACATGAGATAATTAAATTGTTCATAAATATTTGTACTTGGGCAAATGCAGAAATGGAGCGTGCACGACTCGCCTTGACACGGTGGGCGTCTAGGTGCATGTGGCGTTGTATTCTAGTCTGGAGGAAAGTGCACTTGCTATTCCTGGCTTACTTGTCTTTTCAGAGTCTTGACACCATTTTATTGGAAGAATTTTAAGTTGAACATTAAACTATTTTGTCAAGTTTATAAAAGTGATAAATTTTAGGGTAGATGTACTATATCAGTGACGTAATGGAGCTGTTTATACGTTTATATGATATAAGAAATAAATCACATAATACGAACAAACGATTATTAATTACCTTGGTACAAAGGCTGTACACAGTACTATGAAATAAATTCTACATGCTGGCAGTCTATATCCTTAGCCTTAAATGCCTTGTTCCCACGAGGAACCACCCTCCCTTGAGCGGGGTGGCGGTCACCAGTGGCTTATCTCAGACTCCCTCTTAAGTGCTACGAACTTTTGTTGCTCTCTTGGCGATGTAATGTACCATCGTGGGTAGCATTTTGTAGTTTAAAACTCGCACCCCAACTATTGTCATTAATAAACAATGCAGTTGTTCAACGCTTTACTAACAAGACAGATTTCAGATCTACAGATGACAGCAATAATGTTTACATTGTCCCAGTGTTAGTTATGCATTACAAAATATATATAACTACAGCTTCAAAACACTTCATCATTAAAAATAGCTGAATATAAATATCCTTGATTGTAAAAACACAAAACTATAGATTTTAAATTTTCATTTGTTTTTATTTTGTTTCAATAAAATCTAAACAAAATTAAAGCCTACTGATCTCGTGATCAAAACCTGCTAAAAGCGGTGAACAGACTGACTTAAATGCTGTATACACAATTATAAAACTATGATACATTTAGTAACATAACCAAATTACATTTCGTTACATATCTATAGTACATTGAATAACATGTCTATAACGCCTCTAGTGATCAAACTACAGGCCAACATAATATCAGTACTTCTTTATATTACATGTCTATTTAAATTAAGTTTTATAAGGGCTTAGGCAATACTTCCAAGAATCTTCAGTAATATTTAACGAAAGAAATCCAACCACAGTCATTCCAAGCATATGGAAACTGTTTCATCTTGGATCAAAACAAAATTTGATATTTTAAGTTAAAAAAAATCATTAATACGTCTCATTTTTATGTGTTTTCAATCAGATTTATTAAGATTAGCGTTTGTTCCTAACAATTTATCTCCCTCATGTTTCAAATATATTTTGTATAAGGAAGAAATGGGACAATATATGTTGTTATTTGTGAAATCACACAATATCCCCTTAAAATATTGTTGATAATGCAGTATTTTTTTTCTTTCAGAGGTTTATCCATGGTAATTGGCGAGGGGAAGGCTTTGAAAGTTCCTTCAGCTGTTGGTCTTCAAAGGTGTCGCCCATCTGAGCTGTGTACTAACCTATTTGTACTCACCTATTTGTGCTTGCAGGATCGAGCATTGACTCTTGGATCCCACCTTTGTGTGTGTGTGTGTGTGTACTCACCTAGTTGTACTCACCTAGTTGTGCTTGCGGGGGCTGAGCTCTGGCTCTTTGGTCCCGCCTCTCAACCGTCAATCAACAGGTGTACAGGTTCCTGAGCCAACTGGGCTCTGTCATATCTACACTTGAAACTGTGTATGGAGTCAGCTTCCACCACATCACTGCCTAATGCATTCATTTGTCAACCACTCTATGACACTAAAAAAGTTCTTTCTAATATCTCTGTGGCTCATTTGGGCACTCAGTTTCCACCTGTGTCCCCTGGTGCGTGTGCCCCTTGTGTTAAATAGCCTGTCTTTATCTACCCTATCAATTCCCTTGAAAATCTTGAATGTGATGATCATGGGCCCCCTAACTCTTCTGTCTTCCAGCGAAGAGTGTGTGTGTGTGTGTGTGTGTGTGTGTGTGTGTGTGTGTGTGTGTGTGTGTGTGTGTGTGTGTGTGTGTGTGTGTGTGTGTGTGTGTGTGTGTGTGTTTTGCACGTAGTTCACACATGTGCTTGTCCTTAGAACTGTAAGTGCAACATCTAAGTGAGAATCGAAGCTGCAGTTTATGTGCTGTTAATGTTTCGCTGCGAGAAGGAGAGGCTTTTGCTGGTCATGCAAAACTGGTCGTTAATAATATAGGACGTTGCCAAAACTGTTCGTTATCAAAACTGGTCGTAGTTAAAACTGGTCGTAGTCAAACCTGGTCGTAGTCAAAACTGGTCGTAGTCACAACTGGTCGTAGTCAAAACTGGTCGTAGTCAAAACTGCTTGTTTCTAAATTTAGTCGTTGTCAAAACTTAGTCTTTATCAAAGCTGTATTGTGGGTAGTGAGTGCACGGAACTAAAAAAAAAAAAAAATATATATATATATATATATATATATATATATATATATATATATATATATATATATATATATATATATATATATATATATATATATAATATAATACTGCAAAATAATGCCAGCAAAATACTTCCACACGATATCAGAACGAACCTGTTAACGATTAATAACTTATAATTTATATATATTTTTTCATTCGGACAACTTGTTTATAGAATGAGATCCTGCTACAGAATATTGTTGAACGAGTGCATGTTGTCACTCAGTGTGGAACTTAGTAACAATTAAAGTTAAAAAATTTGATATAACCCTATTGGTCTGTGCCGGAAGGCTATTTAAATTATTTTAAACTTATCTTAAAACTTTTGCAGTCATGCAGAATACTTAAATTAAAATTAAATTCAAAGACATCAAGGATGACATGTACGTATATTAATCAGTATAATATCAATCGGTGAGAGAGAGATAAGAGAGAAAACAAATCATATTTAACTAAACATCCGGAGAGTGGCATCGTCTAACTCGTATTCTGATTGGCCCAATCTCAGGCCGGCTGAGCCAATGAGGGCGGCTCATGGCCAGACCTCTACCCGCCATGGCAGGCGGACGGACGCCACCACCCGCTCTAGGAGGGCCCACAATTTATTGCTTTAATTCCTTGATTGGGTTACGTATATGCATTTTATTAAGTGTACATCATTGGAGAATGGGTGAAGCGTCTACTGGAAGCTAGAAAGCGCCAAGAAATGACGCTGTTGCACGTGAGTTAGACGTTTTTGTGTTTGTTTTACATCTTCGTTGATTCGTCCACCTGTTTGATCCTTGTGTTGCAAAAAGGGGGTTTGGGGAGGGGGACTTTGTTTCTCGTCTGTGAACTTCTTAAACCTATAGAAATAGTATCATATATTTACCAGCCTTTATTAAGGTGACTGTATTATAGATGGAGATATGTAGCTGCAAATGGATGCAAGGAATTATTCTGTTGTCTTGGTGTCAAACAATCCTAAAAATCTTACGTACAACTTTTACAAACATTTCCTTGATCTGGGCCAAGATCCATCAAGAGCTTAAGTGTTCACTTACGAAACCCGTACATCTTTCCTCAATGACGGCAGCAAATTGACATTTATTAACCACCACCCACGCCACACTACCAGACACAGGAGCCCGAACATCAGCGTTAAGTCAACACAGGCCGCGGTCACCCTCGCTATAACACCCAGCTGGCGACCTGGCCTCGCGTAATATATGGGTTTAAGCATACAAGTTTTAATAAGCAAAATGAGGTCATTAATTCGCGTCCTAAGCTTGTTATTCTAGCGACCCTGGAGGAATAGCTAATGAATTTTCATCCCTCTAATCTTGGAGGCGCTAGATGTGGGGAGGTATTAGGCCGTCTACTGCCGCCTCCTTGAGCGAAACCTGTCTGTCGCTTGTTGTACAAACCACTTCGTGTGCACAAGGAACTCGCAGTAACGATGTATATCCATAAGAACATTAGAGCAAGACTGGGGGATCGAACCGGCAGCCTGATGCTAAAAATAGGAGAAAGTCGTTATCGAGTGGCATTTACAATTTTAACCTTTTCAAACACCTGACGAACCCTTAAAAGAAAATAATTTTCTGCAACCACGAGTTCATTATTGTTGTGAGTGAACACGTTCGAGGAAATATTTATTGCTTTCCAATACTGCGGTTTCGACTGTGTTGTTTCTGATAAATGATGTCCTTTTGTATTGTGAGTTAGGAAGGGGAAAAAGGAGTGAGTTGAGCGTAATTATTTCGTGTTATTAATTACGGTGATAAGCGTCATTATCATAATTACCGCTCTGGTGGTATTAGCTCATCCTTGTGGGGGGGGGGGCGAAGGGGTGCTTTAGGTAGATGTTATCACTTACTGGTATCATAATAGTATCTTAAATTCTCTCTGCCTCCAGCCCGTTCCTTTGATTTGCCACAACGTATAAAATACAGGGTACAACAATACCCGAACCCAAGCCACCAACCTAACCTAATTAGGCACAGACAACCTGATTTCTGAAGCCATTGCTTTTCATAGTACCCCTTAGTTTGTGTGTTGGGGAGACCATAGCTTACATAATTAGTTGGTCATTAGTTGCTCCATTTATGTAACTTGCCTTCCTGTTCTTGACTTCCTATTTAATTTTCTCCCTCCGAATATGTACAGTATATGCAAACTATTGTAACACCCTAATCTTTTATTGTGTTCTTCCACAGTTCTTAATCCAGTACACCCCTATTTCCACCCAATACACCCTATTCCTTTACCCAATAAACCTTTTTCCTTCATCCCATACATCATATGCCTTCACCTCAACATACCCTATTTATCACCTCGTCACACCCTATTCCCTTTCACCCCCTCACACCCTATTCCCCCTCACACCCTATTCCTCCTCACCCCACCACACCCTATTCCCCCTCACCCCAGCACACCCTATTCCCACTATTCATCAGTCGCAAAAGCCACGACGCCATTTGAGTATTTATGGGCAACGCTTGAACGATAATTTAAGACATTTGCCGCGAGTGTCTAACGAGATAAGCGTTTGTTTAGTGCCTTTAAGGTTAATAATTTGGCTTATTTACCAGTGGTTTTGTGCGGGTGGGGTGTAGGGGTGGGGGGGGGGGGGGAGGTTGTGTGTGTGTTCACCTATTTGTGGCTGCTGGATCGAGCTGTTAGACCCCGCCTTCCCAACCGTCGGTTGGCTTGTGTAATAACTCCGAACTTATTGTTGTCATATATATATGTGTATATATATAACATATATTATATATATGTGTATATATATAATGTATGTTATATAGAGCCCCGAAAACATCGCATGGTAGCTATTTGTTCAGTGTCACAGTTAAGAAATGGAATGCACTAGAAAGTGATGTGGTGGAGGCAGACTCC